TTGCTGGAGAGGGGATTTGGGTACAAGCGCAGTCCATTCTACAGCTTTTGTTCTTTCTGTGGAAATGGAGATGCCCCTACCACAGCTGTATAGTTCCATTTTCTTTCTAGGTGGGACCAGATGAAGTTTAGTGTTTTGTTTTTAAATCCTGTAATGTACAAAAATGTATATATAATGTAAGTCTTTATTTTTAGCAATAAGACAAATGTTTGTACACTCATGCCTGCCTGTGAAACTAGAACGTGTCTCATGTTCAATGCTCACCTGTAACCCACCTCAGTGGCATTCCTGTCTTACCCCCCAAATGGTATATCGACTGTCTTAAATTTTGTACTTATTATAGCTTTGCTTTCTAGAGTATTTTTATAAGATATGTACCTAAAAATCAGTATTTCCTTTTGTGTATTTTTGTGAATATCCCTCCCCCCGAACCAGGGATCAAACTCGGGACCTTGTGCTTGCAAGGCAAGCGGCAGAACCACTGAGCCAAATCCCCAGCCCTGTGTATTTTCGAATTTATGAAAATAGTGTCTCTTTGAGTGTGTTCCTGGACATGCTTTTGTGAGATTGACCCAGGAAGACACATTTCATCAGGGCAGCCTCTAGGACCTGCATTTGTGCATAATTTACACGTGAATCTCCCTGAACAGGCATTGTGTCTGTGGCTCTCCTGTCTCCTCATATACCTGTCTGAGTGTCTCTCTGTGATGCGCTCTTTGTTTTTTTGTTTGTTTGTTTGGTACTGGGCATTGAACTTGGGTCCTTGCACTGGCAAGACAAGTGGCAGCACCACTGAGCTAAATCCCCAGCCTCTGCGATGTGTACTTTGATCCTTCGATGTATTTTTGGTGACCTCTTTTATTTATTGTTTCATCATGCTTAGTTGTTCTAGTCCTTTTTACTGGTAACAGTGTGCTATGACTGTTTCTTCATTGCCAATTTTGGTATTTTCAAACTATTTGCTTTATTAACATTCCTTGAGTACCTACTTCAGGTATATAACACTGCACATGTATAGTGTGTTGTGATAAGTCAGATTACCCCTGATATTAGCAATTGAATGGTATATAAAAATGTTAAACTTTTACCAATATGTGTTAATCAAGATATAATAGATTCCCACACCAAAGAGCCAAAAATTCTATTATAAATCCTGTCTCTGCTATGACACATTAGCTTATAACCCTAGGCAGATCACTTGGTCCTTCCGAAAATATTTCCCCAGGTTGACAGGTAAAGGCACTTGCTCCGCCTCTCTCATCAGTGCGTAATGAGGTAGTGGCTGTGAAATCATGATACAAACATGAAGAGTTATTTCACACAGAGGGACTCACACGTGTGCGGCTGTCTGGTCCATGTTGTTGGTGCTGGGTATTTTCCCTTCTCTGTATCTACTGTGTTAGTAAAGCAAGCCTTGCCTTGCTTTGGGCTGGCAGAAGCCTCACAGTAGTGTCTGGTGCACTGCCAGCCCTTGCATGTATATGAAGAACAAAGATCACTTTAGCACCATGGAAGCTACAGCCAACAATGAAATAATAGGCCTGGCTACATAACAAGAATAGGCCTGTGCCCCTGTGAATACCATCCCATCTTTTCCTAAGAGATAGCCCTGCACACATTCAGCCACCCAGGTCTGGGAGCTGTGCCTGCATTCTGGGTAGAGACACTGCTTCTTGGGCTGAATAGTTATCCCGGAACAGGAAATCTTGCATTGGGAGGGTGGGATTTTAAGGAACTGGTTCACAAGGTTGTAGGGCCCAGCAGGCCAGGACTCAGATGGGATTAACACTGCAGACTTAGTCAGAGCTGCTGGGCAGGCCAGAGGGCGTGCAGGCTGTCTGGAGGGATGAGGCAGAAGTGCCTCTGTGGGGATCTTCAGTCTTTGCTCTCGAGGCCTTCTGCTGGTTGGATGTGGAAGGTAATCTGCTTTACTCAAAGTCTGAGATATTAATCACATCTTTAAAAATACCTCATGGCAACATTTGGACCAACATCTGACTAAGCAGCTGGACATACGACCTCACTCCACCATCTCTGTGGTCTTGGTCTGCCAATCAGTAGTCACACCTGGTGCCTGTCCACAACTTGGAAAGAGTCACATTTATCTCTTGTGGAGATTGCTGATCACCATTCAGCTCAGAATTTGGGGTCCTGAGCTTCTGCCCATAGTACTGTCTGTTCTGCTCCAGAAAGTGAGGTTCTGTGGGCCCCTAAGTGAAGGTTACCACGTTGCCCAGCTCATCTCTGGAAGTTGACATCTGCCAGGTTGAGGGCAACGCTGCCCCAGCTGCTGGTTCTCTGTGAGCTGTGAGGATGGTGGTGTAAATCCTCTGTGGTCTTAGCCTGAGCCGCCAGGAGACCTGTTCAGCCTCTGGGATTTGAACAGACTGGAGTGCTAGGAAGTACACGATTCTGTTCCCTCACTTCTCCTTGGCTAATACCTTCTCTGTAAATTTTCCAAACATCGTTCCTTCTTGTCCAGTTGCAGAACTTTTTAATTTGCTTTTAAGACAGGGTCTCACTGTGTAGCCCAGGCTTACTCTGAACTTGTGATCCTCCTTCTTCAGCCTCCTGAGTGCTGGGGTCACAAGTGTGTACACCATGCCAAGCATTTTGATATTTCTTTAGAAATAGTGACTGGATTGACTTTTTTTTAAATCCTAAAAGAAAATATTAGGGTCAGAGTGACTTGGTGACCTCCACCCATTTCCCCACCTACCTTCTTATCTGGTGTTACATGATGCTTACTCTGTGCACAGCAAGACCTCAGGAAGATCAGAAGAAATGTTTCATAGTCTGAAAGCTTGAAGTGTAGTCAGAGGTTTAAAACTGGTGCTTGTGGTGAAGCTGGCTAACCACAGAGAAAATATTTACTAATCAAAAGTTTGCAGTTCATTATTTTATATTAATAATTAGAGGAATTTTTCTTATTAATTGGAGATTTTAGGCCATGCCTATTAGCCTAGTAGAGGTAAGTTACTTAGTCCCAGAAGAAAAGCTGAAGTTGGAATAGAACATGAAATGATTAGGACTTTCCGTCTTTAAAGAAAAAAGAATAATTAAGAGATACTACTGAAGTCTGTGAAATCTTAAAGGAAATAGGTTGTTTGAAACCAAAATAAATATGGGCATGGTGGTACACACGTATAATCCCAGCTCTCTGAGAGGCTGAGGCAGGAGGATCCCAGATTTGCAACTTAGTATAGTGATGGCAAACCTTTTAGAGCTTTTGATGATACCACAACCTGATACAGCACATGTGCCATAGGTTCGCCACCTCTGCCTTAGGGAGACCTTTTCTGTCTTAATATATAAAATTTTAAAAGCCTGAAGATGTAGTTCAGTGGGAAAGCTCTAGATTCACTCCTTAGTAATCATCATCATTATCACTGAAAGTTTATAACTGTTATGTGCCTCCTAAAACAGCAATATCTCGTTCCACTCAAATGAAATTTAACAGATTCATTTATTTCTATTTTGTCATGTCTCAATTGATTAAAAATACTTTTAGAAAATCATGATTGAAAACAGATCTAACTTGAGTAGTTTTCCTTTTAAAGCAAAGTACGAGTATATGTTTTACATATTTGCTTTTACTCAGAAAAAAAAACTTACTTAGAAAAATACAACTTGGGTGTAGTACCATGTGGTGTAAACAACTGAACTATTTTACTCTTTGCTTTCCTATGAATGAGCCAGTATATATTTATTACTGGAGTTCCTGCTATAAAATTCAGGTAAGGGGTTTAAATATACCCTAGAGCATTATTTAAAAATAAAATCTTTCTTTCAAATAGAATACTAATCTTGGTCTATGACATTTGGGAGAGATGTTAAATTATTAAACTTTTATTGCTTAGTAAACTGAAAATAAAGGTTAAATAAATACAAAGCAGAAAGATATATATATTACTGGAGTTCCTGCTATAAAATTCAGGTAAGGGGTTTAAATATACCCTAGAGCATTATTTAAAAATAAAATCTTTCTTTCAAATAGAATACTAATCTTGGTCTATGACATTTGGGAGAGATGTTAAATTATTAAACTTTTATTGCTTAGTAAACTGAAAATAAAGGTTAAATAAATACAAAGCAGAAAGATATATACATATATATAACACTAGTAAGTAATTCCACCTCCAGGGCCAGGCTAGTACTAAAAAATGTAAACAAGCATGTACTTTGTTTATGTAAAGAAATATGCAGGATGACTTGTTTCTTTATGGATGTGGAACAGCTCCATGGATTGTTTCAAAGCACCAGTAGGGGCCAGCAAAGAGCTCTTGGAGTTTGCAGAACAGACTTGGCATTGAGATTTGTTTATTTGATGTGTTAAATCCTTTTTAGACTTCTTTAGTCACCACAATCTCTGTTAAGTGAAGGAATTGCACAGACTGTGGAATGAAATGCCCAGTGTGCTCAAACTATATTGGGTATAGTTTTTCTGTCTAATCTGCATATGTGTGTGTGTGTGTGTGTGTGTGTGTGTGTGTTTTGGTACCAGGGATCGAACTCCGGTCTTTGTGCTTGTGAGGCAGAACCACTGAGCTAAATCCCCAGCCCATCTGCATATATTTTTAATGGAATGTTTGCTTACGCTATTTCTTGGCAGAGTTTTAATAGTCAAACTATAAATGGCAACATTTAAAGACTATACTGCTTGGCTAAAAGGCCTTAAAATTACAGGAGAAAATGCTTGGCGACAATGTCTCTTAAACTTCCTTTTTCCCCCCTCAAACGTATTCTCATTTTTGCAGTATGTCACTAGGTTTATTTCATCATTGTATGTGTAAACTTTCACTTTTTGTAATTGGTAATTTTGAATGCTGAAATATTTATCTTTTGATTGAATGCTGAAGTTTCAATTCACCCCAACATTTTGGCATTTCCAAATTTACACAATTGTTTGAATCTGCTCACTTTAAAAGAATTAACAGTCCATATTCCTTTCTACATTAACTTGCCAAGATTCCCAGTATGGGTACTGTTTGGAAATTTAATCTTTGATTTGATCCTCAATTACATGGGGCTTCATTCCTACCAACTTCCTGTAATTCTATACCTTTGGGTAAAACTATGAGTGGTCAGACTCTGCTGGAGAAAGTACAGGCGCTGAGACTCCCTCACCGAGTTAAATATTCATTTAGTAGAGCTGGTGTGAAAAAGTACTGTTTCAGCTTGAAGTGTTAGGAGGCCGATGTTCTTGTGTTACTCATCCGTGCAGACTGGAGAAGGTATAATTGAAACAAGGCTGGCTGTGTTCCAGTCAGAGTGCCGCTGAGCGCAGCGTAAAGGTCGCTGCAAATCAAGCGCTGTGAGGGTGAAGACGCTTGGGCTGAGAGCGATTCCGAGCGGTCGCCGGGTCGACGTTCTCTCTGTAATATCTGGTGTCGAATGTTTTAAGCAGGGTAAAGAACACAACTCGACAGCTCTGTCGGCACCACAAATGACTGCTGCTTTCGCTGCAGCACAGCTGCTTCGAGCCCGTCTGTGGACAGAGATCTTGGTTTTGACTCTCGGCCCTTAATATGGTTGGAAATGAGAACAAATGGCACAAAGCTTGCGATTGCACTTTGCAGCCCAAAGAAGCAGTACTTACCCTTTGTCAGAAGGCCCCGGAGAGGGTGTAGATAGCCGGGTCCGCACGTGCTCCCAGAGACCAGCATGGATTTCCTCAGCTAACGTTCAGATGAAGCTGACTCCCAGACAGACTGCGGCTCCGCTGACGAAGAGTGTGACAGCTCGGGAAGGCTCCTCTGTCCCTTCACCTGAAAATATCCGTAAGAAGAGCAGCTCCCTGCGGATTTCGCTGAAGCCCCCAAGGTGCAGTGGGAGTCTCCAGCCTCCTAGTGTCTCAAAGGAATGCGCCCGCAGCGGTGCTGGGAGCCATGGCAACCTCGGAAGCAGTCCTAGTGTCTGCAGTGGAAGCCTGGGGAACTTCGCAGCCAGTGAGCTGGGGTCCTACAGCAGCATCAGTAGTGATCACGGGTCGTCTGCAAGCAGTGCCAGTGGAGGCTCCTACACCAGCAGTGCCGGCAGCGACTGCTGCGGCTACTCTTTCCCACCAAGCGATGGCACTTTTTTCAGTGGAAACTTATCTGCTGACAGTACCTCCAACAGAATTGGGCCAAACAGGAGTGCCGCTCCCTGTGAGAGTTTTTCAAGAAGTCCCAGCACAGCTCCCCTTGTCCAGAATGACTCGGAGCATGGGATCGAGACTGTGAAATTGCCAGTGAGCAGGAATGCAAAAACTCCACTGAAGCGTTGCTCTTCCTTAGTCATTTTTCCTCGGAGCCCCTCCAACACCCCACCAGCCTCTCCAGCAGGTACAGGTGTTCTCCCCAGCCGGGGGTCCCACCAGACCTCACACCAGTTCACCATTTCTCCTAGTGAAGCTGCACATCATGAAGATGGTTCCGGAGCCAAAGGGTTTCTTTCAACTGCTGTCAGTGGACTACGATTATGTAAAGCAGTCTGTACTCGTGGAGAAGTCAGAGATACACGGCCACTTCACATGGGCTCATCCCAGAAGAAAGTTGTGATTTCAAATAACAGCCCCAAACAGACTGTTCAGGAAAAGTCTTCTGAAGGATGTTCATGTGTTTCAGTGTATTTCACCCAGCGAAAAACAGCTGCCTCCGACTGTGAGATAACAAATGGTGACTGTAAACTGGAGATGTCAGAAATTAAGCTTCATTCTGATCCACGGTATTCTAAGCCCTGGCACAGAACATCTGAGTGTTTACCACCCACCCAAAACACAGACTACCAAACAAAATGCAGTGGAGAGTTGGAAAGACCAAATTCACAGATAAACAAAAACCACACTGTCTTACAAAGAAGTATTTCATTGGGAGGAACTTATCCAAATATTTCCTGTTTATCCAGCCTTGAGCACAGTTCTAAGGGGGGACCCTCGCAGTTACTCATAAAGCTTTCACCTGGAAATGAAGGTGAAGTTGACAGTCTATCAAGAGACAGCATCAGCAACTTCACAAATGGACTATCTAATTCTTGCAAGGTAGGTTTCCTTTGGCCTTATTTAGTGTCAGTTTATGTTATAATAAAATGTATTATAACTTAGCAGTTTATATGGTTTCCTGGTCCTTAGCTAGCAAGTATTTTGTAGTCATGAACTTTATACTTATAAAGCTGAAGACTCCCCCCCACGTAGTTTTTCCATTCTTTGTTTTTTCACAATTTGGCAAACAGTATTAAAAAAAAAAAAAAAAACTTTCCTAACTGATTTAAGCCATAAAATGTTTCTGTAGCATAAAACTGAAGTTTTAAATAATCTCTCATAACACTTTATCCTGGTACATTTTTCTTTCAAGTGGCACAATATTTTCATATGTAACCCCGTATTATTCCTACTTTCAAAAATGTCACTTTTCTCCTCAATTATTATGAAATAAAATAAAGTGCTTATTTAAAATATTAAACAAATATATAAAAATAGAGAGATCTTACGGGTATAGAAGAAATATTTCAAATGCATATATTTTATTTATATGATCATTGATTAAAAATCATCATATTGCGTATTTAAACAGAGGGAAGCTAAATGTAATTTTCCTTCATATATACCCTAACCATAGAAATTTTGTTTCTACTCTACTCTGTTTTTCTGTAGCTTTCAGTTAATACTATCTTTGAAAATGTAATTCTTTCAGCAATATTCATTTCTAAGTTTTATGTTTGCATCTGCCTTAAATTACTAGGCAATTTCCATAATTTTCTATTTGCCATATTAATTTCTTGTTTCAACTATTGTGCTTCATTATATTAGTAATTTAATGAATCCTAGTCAAAGTAGTTCTTTAATTAGTCTTTTCAGAATAATTTGAAGTATTTTGAACTGAAATAGGTTTTTTTTAAAAAAAATATCTGTATTTAGGGCTTAGCAGATTTGAGGAAATTTTAAACATTTTCTGACTATACCTGGTCTAAATGACAGCACATAGAGGGAAAAGACCTTATTGTCTACCTGTGTTTATGTAACACCCCATACCTTTATTAAAGGTTGGAGGGAGACTTCTAGACAACAGGTTTTGGGCAAATACAATGTTAAATAATTGCTCATTGATTCTCTCTTTTTTTTGTGGTACTGGGGATCAAACTCAAGACCTTGTGCTTGCCAGGCAGGCACAGTGCCCCTGAGCTACACCCCTGACCCTGATTTTCTCTCTTTTGAAATCTGGTAAATACAATCATTTTGAAATCTGATAAATAATCATTATTACTAATACCCAGATGTTAATCTAAGCAACTAATTTGTTGAGGATGGAAAGAGATCAAATTTCAGATTTGATCTATGTTTTACAGTTACTAAGTTCACTTACACAACTTTTCTAAAACCAGCTTTTAGGAGATTATAATCCATTTAACTGCTCCCCCCAAGAAAGAAACGGAATGGCACTACAAAGGAACCTATTAATTTGCAATTGGGGCCAGGGATTTGGCTCAGTGGTTCTGTCACCTGCCTCACAAGCACGAAGGCCTGAGTTTGATCCCCGGTACCGAAATAATAATAATAATAATAATAATAATTTGCGGTTGAATTAATGTTATTTGTAAATTTATATTTAAATTGAAATGAATTAACCTTGAAATATTTATAGAAATATTTAACCTTAAAATACTTATTTTGTGGTAACATAATTTGTTGTTGATGCTTTTCAAAAAGGATATTTTTAATGAAATGTAAATTAAACCTTTTGCACTGCTAAAATACACATTTTGGGCGGGGTCTTATTTAAACTCAGGAAAGCCAACAAAAAAATTTTTTGTGATAACCAAATGCCCAGCTTTGTGCCAATTCTAATTTTTGTTAGATTATTGAATTACAAAATACTTCAGAAGTGTGTATTTTACTGGGGTTTTAAATTATTCTTCCCCTTAATGTTTATTAAACAACTTTTTAAAGTATTGTAAATAATACAACAGTTAAATTCAATATAAACTATATCTAAATTGATCTAATTAATCAATAGTAAATCAACGATTCTATGAAGAATGTACTAACATTGCTTTTCTAAACATAGCAGTGACAACAATGGAATTTCTAAATCCTGTATTTATCAATAATTATATATTAATCTAATTATAGTGGTATATTGTAACTCATTTATAAATAACAGATCCCAAAATATTTACCATGTCTCCAGCTAGTCTGGGTTAGTATTCTGATATGCTGAGTCTGGATTCGCATTTAACAAGTTGATATTAGAGCAGCATTTAGTAATGTCAGCTATCTGTACTGGGCAGTGTGAAATTAAATCACCACTTCAGCCAGAGACCCTGGTTTCTAAAGCACCAAGAGTTCTGCAGATTCTTGTCTTCTGTGTTTAGCACCAGCCTCCAGCAGTATGGTGTCACATTTCTAGCTCTCTATAATCAGCAGCTTGTTAATGACTAATTTTTAAAATCTACTGAGAACTTTTACCTGCACTGGGACACAGACTCTGTTCTGTGTTTACAAGTTAGAAGGAAGATGGAACTTTACAGTCTGAATAGTGTTTATTCTGGGCACAGCAAAGAATATAGCAGTAAGGGCCGGGGATTTAGCTCAGCGGTTCGGTGGCCTGCCTTGCAAGCACGAGGACCGGAGTTCAATCCCCAGTACCAAAAAACAAAGAATGTAACAGTAACTGGCATATGTTTATTATGTGCCTTTTGAAATACAGTATTACTTTTGTAAAGGCTGTATAGTGACTTGATCTCCAAATAGAAATTTGGTCTTTAACATTATGAGTAATATTTTGTCAGCTCAATCAATAAATACATTACTGAACTAAGGTACTTCTGTAGCTACAAAAATCATTACTACTGAAATTTCTCAAATCTGTAGAGTAGTTACTATACTGTGTTATTTTACTCTACCTGCTTTCTGAACATTGTGAGAGGCCAGAGTTTTCCTTATCTGATTATCTAAGATGCTTTAGAATTGTGACCAGACTTGTACTGTTTGCTACATATATGGATGTTTATCAGAAACATTTATACTTTTTCTTTTTATTATAAAAGTTTTTGTTCATTATCTGTTACTTAATCCTGGATAGGTAAATTTCTTAAGCCTAATGGAACTGAACTTTTAAAAAATTGTCCATTTTAATAATTTAATAAATATTTTAAATACATACTTATTTTAGTTTTGGTTTGGCGGGGGGTTGGTACCAGAGATCAAACTCAGGACCTTGCTCTTTCAAGGCAGACACAGTGCCACTGAGTTAAATCCCCAGCCCTACACACTTATTTTAGTGTCCCTTTATGTTTTCAGCCCTTCTTTTATTAAATTTAGCAGAAAATGTAGACATTCGGATAAGTTTATTGTGAATGGTACTTAATCTTTCCCATAAAAATCAATGCAGTTTCTAAATATTAACTCTAAACTATGATACAACTATGATGAGCAGTTTTGAAAATTTGGTGGACAATGTGTGTGTCCTTTTCTTAGAACTGATAAGTATAATTTTGATTTCTGAGTGTCGGGAAGTTGAGTTTTTCGCTGAGATCCTTTGCGTTCTCTGCAGCTGTGTCTTCTTCCGTTATTCATCCAGCCACATTTGAACTCCAGACACTAAGAATAAAAGATGAATGAAATGCTGTCTCTGCTGGGGGTGCTCCCATGGTAGTAAAAGGGTGCACAGGTGAGCAGAACTGTTTCTGTCTAGTGAGTACACACGTGCTGAGACAGGTGTGTCTTAGAAAAGCGTGGCAGGACTTCAGGAGGAAGGAGCCGTGAGGGGCATTGAGAGCATCTGAGGAGTCGAGAAGTTGGTTGGCGCTTATCAAGCAGCGCCTTGATGGTGGGGCTGTTACCTGTAGCACACTTATGTGTGGGCCACATAATTCCCATGGAGGGTTTCAGCAGCTGCCCTGGCCCTCACCAGTAAATGCCAGCCACTCCCGCAATGTCTGCAGACATTGTCAAACGTCCCAGGGCAGCACCCCCACTACCCCAACGTCACAAAGGCAAAGCCCACACAAGCGACCTCACACTGGTGGGTTGGAACCTCTGCTGCTAAAGAGAAAGTTGTGTGTCCCTGATGACAGGCAGTTAGGTGATATATCACACTGTATTTGAAGTGCAGAGGACTTCTTGTTACGTTTGCAGACGATAAATTTTTGTAACATGATAGATTATAAATGGATCAAAGTTTTCTTAGCTCGGATGACTGGGTGAATGGTGATGTCATGAACCAAGATAGGAAAGTGGGAAGGAGCCAGATGTGGGATGGGTGCAAAAAACTGGTGTGTGGCTGAGTCTGTGCTGCTGTCAGGGGCAGCTGTGGGTACAGAGCAGGGTGGGGAGCCCTGGAAACCCAGGGTGGGAGCCGGGAGTTAAAGCTCAGGGAGGAAGAACTCAGCCAGGGAGAACAGGAACTGAGATGTGAGGGGAGTAAAAGCCAAATTCTGAGCCCCAGGGGTTTCAGTGAGATGGTGAAAGAAGAGACAGGCAATAGAGAGCCATCAGACAGGCCAGGAGGTCACGGAGGCCTGGAGTCAGGGGCGGGACAGAGGACTGAAGCACCCATGAGGTGTAGCACATGGGAGGTGTTCAGTGAACTTCCCAGCGGGGGCTTTTCAGGTGTCCCCAACACCAGGGATGACAGCCAGGCTGAAGGAACAGTGGGCGAGGAAGCAGGAACGGCAAGCACAGGTGACCTGCTGGATGTCACAGGACACAGAGCACCAGCAAGGCACGTAGGGAACACTATGACTCGTGGGATAAACTCCCTGGCTGCAAAGAGTACAGTCTCTTCCAGGATGGAGAAAAAGGTTGTCATTCTGCTCTCTCCGCTGAAAACCACAGAATGAGTAAACGGGCAGTGAGCACTGAAATGGGGGCCCAGCCACACAAATGAAGGGAACAGAAAATAGGAAATGGAAACTGGAGCCTCCATGAATATTCACAGCTCATTTTGGACATCGTTATTCTGACTTTCTCAGTTCCCTCCCTACCACCAAAAAATAGGACAAAACAAAACCCACCTTCCTCATAGAAACCAAGTCAGGGTG